ATTCAAGTGATTTTTTGTAGAGATGATCTTTGAATGTGTATCAACAAAATAGACGGTTTGGATTAGTGAAATACAATCCGGAGTGGGCCCTACAAGGGGTGTCCCTCAAATAAGCTTATTTGAGGGATCCCTCAATGAAAGCTCTGTATATATATATATAGAGGACGATAAATTTTTTTGTGCCCTGAAAACTTTTGTGCCCCGTGCCGTTGCCCTGTTCGTCCTAGGCCAAGACGGGGCCTGATTTTAAGGTAAACATATATATTTTGGCATGCTAGGTGGGACCTCTAATACACATATTCTGACATAAAGTGTTGGTTGATGCATGACAGGGACACGAAGGGTAGATTTTGCAGTCAACAAGTTTATCATCAAGGGAAAAAGATCCTGATATTTTGGCACAATCTAATGATTGCTTGAGATTGTACTCAAAGAATAATGCTAGGCTTACCATATTTTTCATACTACAATTGTACGACTTCTCTAATAGAGGTGGAGGCTCCACTTCTATTAGAGAGGTGGTACAATTGTGATATGAAAAACGTGGTAAGCCTAAAATTTTCCATACTCAAATGAGGCCCCGATGTTCATCGGGGGCTAAAAGATGCCCACACCACACCTTATACAATTCACTGAAGGCTTGATTCTTGGAACAAAGGGTTCCAAAGGGACTTACATACCCAAAGTAACAAGGTTCCAAATTAATGATATGCTCTTTATTCGAGCAGATTCAAAGGAAATCTCTCCAGAGATCTCTGAGTAATTGAAAAAAAACATATGGACATCCTTTCATATATTAAAAGATTATTTTACCATGCTCTCAAGGAAAATTGGTCATAAGACCATCTCGCACAAAAGTTGTCAAGAAATCCCCTACATTTTTACAAGGACAACTTGGAATGTACGTGGTTTTTTATTCTCCATCAATCATCAGTCACCTTAAACCCTTCAGGGTGATGTCTTTCCCTGCATACATGAGATTCAAGAAGATGGTGCTGCCAAAATTCATTATACCACTTTTTGATGGTGCTGCCAGAATTAACCTCATGAAACAATTAATGTAACAGGGAAGTCTATAAATCTATGAAACATTAACATCCGGACGTACGCATAAATCTACTGACCTGTGTGTACAATACAAGGGAGATGAAGGAAAATAAGATCACAAAGAAGTAAATAGAGCTTAGAGTTTTTGCCATTTTAGTGGAAAGTATTTAACTCTATAAGATAGTTCTAAGGAGTAGATCAAAGTAGTGTTTGAGTGATGTCAATGGGGAGGTTGAATGAATTGTGGATCTCTGAAAGGTGGACTTGAGCCAAAGAATTGAAAAAGTCTGAAAGCATGTGCTCAGGATTCGGTTCCTAAGTCTAGAGATGGCCATGTTCGTTGTACAGGCTAAACCTAATGAATTCCAGTCCAGTGTTGCAAGGATTGTACTTTGATTGTAATTGGCTCCTCGTACATTGCTTAAAGTCTGATATTATAGGAAAAAAATAATCTATCAATGACTATATAAACAATATATATATATATATATATATAACAGAAATTTCAATATACTCAACGAATTTAATATAATAACAATAGTATTATATTAACCAACGAATATGATATACAGAAAATAATGAAATTGAGTTCACTGACTTGTATTTGAAATAGAGGCTTGCATATTTGATTTAATGTCGATAGTAATTTCACCCCTTCTTGGTGCTTGAAGTTGACTGCACCCAAAATTCAACTATCTATATTCTAAATCCTACCCTTTGTTTGTTGTTCTCTCAGACAATATGAATGAATGCGTTGTTTGATACTTTTTTATGTAAAGACGAATGAGGGCCTACTTCTAATTTAAATAGACTTCTGAAAGTTTCAGAAGAGTAAATTAATCTGAAAAAATAAAATAAAAATTTAAATTAGAAGTGCCTAAGGGCCAAGGCCCATCTTTTTATAATTAAATATTTTAAAGTTTGGACCGCACTCAATGCGAAGCCCAAATTGCCTCCGCTTGGATATTCCACACTTGTAAGGACCAATCCCTTCTCTCTATTCTATCAACGTGCAACAAAGATATTTTGGATTTCATTCAAACTTTTAACAGGTTTAAGGTGCAAACATGGCTTAGCTAAATTGGCTAGATTTCATTCAAACTTTTAACAGGTTTAAGGTGCAAACATGGCTTAGCTGAATTGGCTAAAACAGATGTGCTCCTCACCATACATTTGAATTCAAATGCACCCCACTATAATTTAGATTAAATTAAAATAGAAATATCGCTACAAAAGAGTATGGTATAAGGTTTTAGTTTAAATAAGTGTACTTGGTTCAAAGTTGTTCAAAGATCTCCACAAGTCAATTGAATTAGAAAAACCAAAACTAGTCGAATGTTTTCTATGACCATTTCTGGATATATACAAAATGTATGACAGTTTAAACCAAGTGCTTGATCTTCATATTTGGCTTTTGTTATCCTATTAATATTGCCCCTACTCCGAAAAATTAATGGATCCGCCACTGTTTATAGACCATATCTCACACCCGTCTCTTTTTTAAGTCTTCTCCTATTGAGAGAGAAGAAAAATGACCCAATCCAAAACAATTGAACTGTTGAATGAAATAATGATTATTTAAGCCAAATTGAACTCAGAAATATAGTGTGCGCTTCAGTTTAATCGTTGAAAATGGCAATAAAAAAGTAACATAATATATGTATCAAGCAAGAGGGAAGAAGACAGGAAAAAGATATATACAAATTTATAAATAAACCCAATTCTAGACATGTATTTATAAAAAAACCCAAGCACTATTTAAACATAGAAACACACCCAAAATCAACCCCAAAGTCAACTTTTTAGGTGTGTTTATAAATGAATTTTGAGTGTGTGTAATGCTGGGTTTTTGGTGTGTTTATATGTTTAAATAGTGCTTGATTTTTTATAATTTCAACCCCCATTTTGGGTGTTTTAGTGAAACTCCCAAAGATATATTGTATTGGCACCAAAATATCTCTAGCCCCGATACAGTTGATCTACAAATCCCAGTTCCATCCAAATTTTAAGAAAATTAAAACATTTACTCACTTTTCCCATTCTCCCTTCACTCCTTCAGAGAAAAAGGGTCTTTAAGGAGAGGAGGGTGGGAGGGGAGCACAATGGAGAAGAAGCTACACCATTATGCAGCAGCTCTGTCATCGGAATCCGACCATAATGAACCTGTGATTTGAGTATGCGACGTATCTTTCTCCTCTTTTTGTGCATAAGGTCTTGAATTTTCTTTGCTCAGCAATAATGTTAAGTTCATGAATGCCTTACTAATTTGTAAGCACCCAATGACCAGTTCATGATATTTATAATGTAATTATCATGCAGTATACTAGTCCTAGAGTGAATTTGTTTCCCCCTTCCTCCCTCATGGTTGTGACGACTAGCTACTTCTAGTTTAGAGAACCTTGATATTCCATTTTTTCTCCTTGAACATCACTGTCTAAGACTTTCTAGCAGCAATCAGTTTGGAGAAAAAGAAAGGAATCTACTCCAAACAAAACTTTAAAGAGAAAACTTCTAACAAAGAAATTAAAAGGACGCTTATTTGATTAGGGAGACTCTTCAAGTGAATCCAGAGAATCCGGCCCTTCTATGTTAAATTGTTCTGTTTGTCCTTGGCAATTAAATCCAAAGGCATGGAAATCCTTGGGCCAATAGAAAAATTGGGAGAAAAACCATAACACTCAAACCCATCGGCCATGATACACAAAAGAAAAGCAAAGGAAAGAGATCTAAATTATTAAGAGAAAAGCAAAAGAAAGAGATTGTTAGTTTAGAACTTTAGAGAGAGCAAGAAGGTTAGAGAAGAGAGAGAATTTCAGAGAAAGAGAAGGGGAGGAGGAAGAGAGAAATAGAGTCACGAAAATAAACTGAAAACTCAAGCCACATGCACTTGATGATTTTCAACAGAAATATTGACAGACATTGACGGTAGCAGGGGGCATTAATACTTTTTGACACTTTGGGGGATCTGAAAAACCACATTAATAATCAAGGAGCGAAAATGAAATACGACCTATAATCCAAGGGGCATAGCTAAATTTTGGAGAAATTTAAAATTTTAAGAAAAGGTAACAGTCACTCTGCATAATTTTTGGACAAATGTAAGGGCATCAACTATATCTTGAAAGAAATATGCTGTCAGTCCATAAACTTATGCATACAAATCACTCAATGGAACTAATCCGAAATAAAATGTTTTCAAACTTAATTTAACAAATCATATAGGTCTTACCTGAATCTAAGCATCCAATAGAATAATACGCCATTAATCCTCGCACAATTTTATATACTTTTAAGTTCAATAATACATAGGAGCAACCCCTCAAAGGAAATATATTGACTAAACTGGAAAAGGTCATAATTATATAAATGTGAAAAATAATGTCCACTATATAAGAGACATCTATGATGGATCATAAACCAGGAGTTGCTATCTTCGATTTTTTGTCCAATCCCATTGCATTTCGTATCCTTGTTGATATAGGAATGCGCGGGAACTAAGGATCTAATAAAACGGAGAAAACACACATATGTTCCACTTTGGAAGGAAATGGCCACTGCCCTCTATTTATGATTATTTTTCGCTTCATCTATCTCCATATTTTTATGGAAAAATTTCCATTGTAATCAGTGAATTTGGATTTGGATTACCAGACAGTATGGCGCCTTACATACAATATTTGTTCTTTTACAACATCCTTTTCCCCTGCACATTCCTATCATCAACAAGGATACAAAGTGTTCGGGGTTGGACAAAAACCTGAAGATAGCAGCTCTTGTTTTGCGATCAGTCACAGATCTCTCCTACATAGTGCACATTGTTTTTCAAAATTATAGAACTAAGACTTGTTCAAGCTTAATCAATACATAATGTTCGATTGATTAACTCCTGGGTATTATAACACTTAAGTATACTCTTCCAGCAATAGCTAAGATGGTTGGACGGTCATGCATCTCAGCAAACCAAAAGGAAGGGAAATATGCATCTGCACAGGGAGAGAAAGAGGATATTGAAAACTGAACTGAAAAGTTTTTGAAGACATGGTGGAGGGAGTACTGGAAAAATAAAGATATGGCATTTGACCACAAAATATTCTAAATGCAGGTAATGCTAGCAGCTATGATATTAATAAGGCAAAAAACATGAAGCAATTGACTGTTTTGCAATACAAAGATTATAAGGTCTTAAAAAACAATGAAATTTCTTAGGAAACAACACAAGTCAGTGAATCAAAGGTATAACATATATGAATCAAACACCACATATCCAAGCATCGAATTCACATCAAATACCAGTCAAATAGCAATTTTAATCTGATCTGATACATCTGTATCTCTGTTATCTGCTAATTTTGTGGTTTAATTCAGAACCCAGTTAAAAATACTGAACAAACCTCCGATGAGATTTTTTTTCAAAAAAACCCCAAACAAATGAAATTGAAAAGAAAAAAAATGCCCAAGAACTAGAAGCTGTGACCAAAAACCATAAAGCACGCACCTTTGTTTGAAGCCTCTGCCCACCTTGCTTCCAGTTAAATTATGGGTTTAACCAACACATGTAAGCAATTTGAAGCTGGATCTAGGGTTGCTTGAAAACCCAGAAAAATCCAGTTGGAAATTGCAGATTGATTTCAAAAGACTGATCCAATGGAAAATCAAAACGATCAGCTAACACAGAAACAGGAAGCATTGGTAAGTGAAAGTGAGATGAGAGCTCCAAACAAAGGTGAGGGTGAGGGTGAGGGTGAGATGAGATTATCAAGTAGCTGAGATCTCAGACTGAATTGGCACTTAGTTTGACTGAATTGCCACTAAGTTTGACTTAATTGGCACTTTTGTCCCTCCATTTGTCATTTTTGTCATTTGTATTTCAAGTAGGTCCCTTCATTTCATTCCCACTGTGGTTCACATTGTAAATTTCATCAATACGAGGGGGAGGGGTGTTTCCGTCCTAAAGCTTTCAAGTTGAAGAATATTTTAGAAGACATTTTAAATCATGTAAGGACATGTTCACCCATTTATATGGTTAGGGTTGTTATTATTAAGGTGAATATTGAAAGTTCTTTTATGTTTTCATTTATTGTCAAGACAAAGGGCAAATGCTATTCACTTTTTAAAAAAAAAAAATTAACAGAAAAAATTTAAGTTTTAAAATTTTGGTAGGTATTTATAAAAAAAATTTCAGAATTTTTACAAATTGTTTTCGATTTTTTTTTTCAATTTTTTAAGCCAAAAAATTGGCAATCGTTGGATTGGAGCACAAACCCTAGATCGGACCCTCCAGGAGTTGCCATGTGGCTTAGAGCTGTTGGGTAAAGCTGCGTTGACACCACACTAGCCACTTTCAAATTTAAATTAATTTTTTAGTTTCAAATTAATAATTTTTTTATTAATTCAGATTAGTTTAATTAACTGTTTTCAAACAGTTGTGACTCTTTTAATAAGGTTTCAGAGGTTTATTAAAATTAAACAAAGCCTTATTCGTCAGACATAGAAAAAGCATTCTACAAGCACAGTTCATCTTGTCTGAGAGGAAAACAAACAAAGTTTGCCAGATTTTAAGTCATAGTGCTAAGGCTTAGACTACATATAGTTGAATCATGAGAGGCAGTCACCTGTACAACTTCAAGCACCGAGAATGGGTGAAATTACTGTCTTTAGTACATTGCGTCAAATCTACAAGCCTCTATCTCGAATCCAAGTCAGTTTTATTTGTTATTTGTTTATTGTATTCTGAATTACAGTTTGTTATAAATACAATTTCATTGATTTATATATATATTGTTAATATATAATTATTTTAAATAGTCTCTTATTGTTGTTTTTATTAAACAAAAAATACATACAAATATTTTATAAATTCAAATCATAATTACTTAAAAGGTCAAATAAAATAATTGTTGGCCTAAATTATCTTACCCGTTTATGAATTGCATTTAGAGTCAAAAACTGCATTAGTTAGCTAATTATTAGGATAATTACATTTTTTTGTCATTGGGGCCAGGCCCGAATTTAAATTTGGTTGCTGAAATTTCAATTTTCCGAAATTCATCACTGTACTTGTAATGGTTAACAAATCAAGTCAAATCCATTAGTTCTGTCAATTAAGTCCAAAAAATAAACAAAAATGAAAAAAGGATGACAAGGAAAAAAAAAACCTAGCATTTGTCCAAAAAAAAACCTAGATCTGAGAGAGAATCATCTAGCTAGTGTTGAGATTGGTGGTTGCGTGTGGCAAAAGACAGATCTGAGAGGAACCTCAGTTTTGCATTCAATTTGAAAATCAAGTTGATTTGGTGTAGAAATGATTCACTTAAATTTGCGGATTTTAAACTCATCAAGAAAGATTAGTTTGTGGAATGAATTTCACCCCTTCTCTCTTTCTCTCCAAAAATCCCTTGCAGAGAAAATTTGACATTTACCCGACAATTTATCAACAAAACTACTCATTCCACAGAATTCGCCCTTTGAAAATCCACACTAAGCGAATAAAGCTTTAAGTCTCAACCCATGACAGTAAAGCAACTTCCTCAATATCAATCTTGAACATCACACAAAAACAACGAAATTACCGAGTGACCAAATTTAAATTTGGACCTAATCCCAGTGACCAAAAGTATAATTACTCCTAATTATTATGATAGAAATCACTCTTATTGTGATTCAAATCATAAGGAATTAAAATTGGAAAAAAAAATTTGAAAAAGAAATAAATATCATTACATAAGAAAATTTAAGAAAAGAATGTAATCTTATGTGGCATAATGTAACATTCCACATCGACCAATGGAGAGGGAGTGATGTGCCTTATATGTACATGTCAGCCTTCATCTTGCACGAGGCCTTTTGGGAGCTCATTGGCTTCGGAGTCATGGGAACTCCGAAGTTAAGCGAGTTGGGGCTAGAGCAATTCCAGGATGGGTGACCCATTGGGAAGTTGCTCGTAAGTTTCCATAAACAAAACTATGAGGGCAGAGAGGAGGGCCCAAAGAGGACAATATCGTGCTACGGTGGAGTCGATTCCGGGATGTGACAATTTGGTATCAGAGCCACTTTGCCGTGTGGTGCGAGTGTGCCGATGAGGACGTCGGGCCCCTAAAGGGGGTAGATTGTAATATCCCACATCGACCAACGGAGAGAGAGTGATGTGTCTTATATGTACATGTCCGCCTCCATCTTGCAGGAGGTCTTTTGGGAGCTCATTGGCTTTAGAGTCATGGGAACTATAAAGTTAAGCGAGTTGGGGCTAGAGCAATCCCAAGATGGGTGACCCACTAGGAAGTTTCTCGTGAGTTCTTAAAAACAAAATCGTGAGGGCAGAGAGGAGGGCCCAAAGCGGACAATATCATGCTACTACAGAGCCGATCCCTGAATGTGACACATAAAGGTCACACGACTTAGATCAAGAACACAAAATTCGAGAATTAAACCCAACTCTTAAATGGAAATTTGAATCTATATCAAATTGATTCATTGTCAGAGTAGAATGAAACAACAAGATAGCCTGCTTATATTTTATGCGTTGATTAATATTTCTCAAATCAGTGAAAGCATTTATTCTCCACAAAGCTCCTTCGAAAAATTTTCATTCTACTAGTGAGCTTTAGCTTCGATCTCAGGACCAGGGGGAGCAACAGGACCACCTCGACGACATCTTTTGATCGGTTGGCAGCCACGACTATAAGGGCTACTAGGAGGAGGAAGAACACCTTGGTCATTGGAATGAAAACCTAAGAGCTGCCCTCTTGGTATCTTTGATAGGTCAGGAATCCTAGCCGCTACCTCATGGTTCAACACCGTCATGCTAATGAAAAGCAAACACAGGAACCATGACCTCATGTTGGAAAGCCAAAAAGAATTTTTCTTTCTTATGTAAGCAAGTTTTTTTTTTTCTCCTCTGATTGTATTGTATTTACTATTGGCATGAGAGCCAATTTATATAATAAACTTTGCTTGTCCATGTTCTACCTACCACAAATTCTTTTTAGAGAAAACTATTCTGTACAGAAAAAATGCATACATGGTATTGTCATTCATGATAATATTTTTCTTTTTCGTTCAGCGTACGAGTTGATTTCTCTTCCTATTTTCCTTTTTTATATTTTCAAAAAGAATTATTTTGCGTTGAGGAATTTATGTCAGTTTCTTATTAATCACATTAAGAAATTTAATTAATAATGTCTACCTTATGGGTACTTTTTTTCTCTTTTTGTAAGAAATATACATGAGTAAATATGGTTACTTGATAAGAAAAATTTGGTTATACTCAATAAAATGTAAGATATTAAGGATTTAGTGAATGAACTACTTGTGTTTTGGGCTTAGGATGATGTTTTTAAATTTTTGTTAGGTTAAGGCCTCCCCATATGCTTTAGGGCCTGTTTAATATGTATTGGAAATGATGTTTTTACCTTTTGTATTTCATATGGGAGTCAGCTTTGGATTCAATCCCAAACGGAGACCACGAGGCTGCAACCACCACCAACGATTTTAATGCCCATACTCATACCCACCACAACCACCATAGGTAAGAAGGTCACTGCAAAGCGGGACCTCCCAAGCAAATTCATCCCCAGTGTCACGATCACTGGTGGAGAAGGCGTTTTCCGATCCCTGGAGAAGCAATTAGAGGATTGACTTCGGCGAATTCTCTAAGCTCATAAGGCCGGTTTCGTCTCCGGTGAGATCGAACAGTATGTGGTTAGCCTTCTATATTTAGGAAGGTTTTAGAATTTTTTAAATCTTTTTTCAAGATAATGTTTAGGAATTTTTGGACCAAAAAAAAAATGCTAGCTGACTTGAGCAGGCCTGAAAGAGCTGTTGCACCCGTGAATCATGCCAAGTTTTGCCCATCTCTTGGCCTCTTTGGCTTGCTAACTAGGTTTGGCCTAGTGATATGGCAGATTTAGCCTACTTACTAGAGATGGCTTTTGGGTGTGAAATGGCTAAATTTGTGGGTTTAGCCCACTGTTGGTTCGTGTACTATCTAATACACATGAGACATGTGGAAATATTTTATTTTTATGTCCTATATGTATTGGATAGTACACCAACCAATTGGTGTATCCAGAACATACAAAATTACTCTGGTTGCACCACTTGCACCACACCAGGGCCGGCTACATACAAATTACAATGCATGATACAAGGCCATCGTAGGTGGTTGACTCTACCTCTATTTGTATTGTCATCGATGACCGACCCTCTTTTCCACCTCTCTTTTTTAAAAAATAAATTGGAAGAATTAAAATTATACCAAGTGTAGGGGGTGTTTGAGGATATGCCAGAATGTGTTGAGTAAGAATCTTATGTCCAAAAAAATACCACTTCATTTTCCTTTGAGGTGTCACAAAAGTTAGCCTATAATTTTTTATGTTTAAGGTCCTTCATGCCCTATGATTGAGAAGCTATATTTTGATGTTGTAAACCTTGGATGGCGTTGAAGGGTGCATCTAATGAGAAAAAAGAATATACAGAAAATGTTGATTGCCTCAATTAGCTTCTAAGTCTAGAATTTGTTGATAGAAGAAGTATATATAACAAGAGATTTCACATATCGTTCAAACGGAAGAGCATATGGCTAGTACCACCTTATGTGGCAGTTGATATTGGACATGCCACAACAATTAAGTATTTAATAAGTAGTCATGTTTATATTTAAATTCTTTTAATTATGAATTTAATTAAATTTTTAGGGTTTTTCACCTCCATCCCTTTTCTCAATCACCGGTGGAAACAATTT